AGAGACACTGACTCTTTTCAAACTTTTGTTCATCTTTGATGGCCTGGATGAAAGTCGACTTTCACTGGAGTTCACTAACCGGAAGATTGTTTCTGACATTACTCAGACATCATCAGTCAATGAGTTAGTAACAAACCTCATAGAAGGGAATCTGCTTCCCTCGGCTCTCATCTGGATAACTACCCGACCTGCAGCAGCCAATCAGATACCTCCTAAATGTGTTGACAGGGTAACAGAAGTGCGAGGCTTCACTGACGCTCAGAAGGAGGAGTACTTCAGGATGAGATTTAGTGAGAAAGAGCTGTCCAGAGTTATCTCCCACATTAAGAAATCCAAAAACCTCAATGTCATGTGTAAAATCCCAGTCTTCTGCTGGATCACTGCCACAATCCTTGAGTACATATTGAGTACAGACCAAAGAAGAGAGCTACCAAAGACCCTGACTGACATGTACTCGTACTTCCTACTGGTTCAGACAAAGAGGAATAAGCACAAGTGCCAAAAAGAACATGAGACGAGTGCACAGGAGCTGACGGATGCTGACAGGGAAGTTCTTCTGAAGCTGGGGATGCTGGCGTTTGAAAATCTGAAAAATAGAAACATCATATTCTACCAAGAAGACCTGGAAAGGTGTGGTCTGGATGTCACAGAGGCCTCAGTTAATTCAGGGGTTTTTACTGAAATCTTTAAAAGAGAGTGTGTGATTTTCCAAAAACCAGTCTACTCCTTTGTTCATCTGAGCATTCAGGAGTTTCTGGCTGCTGTTTACACGTTTCACTGTTACACCAACAGGAAAACAGAGGTACTAAAGGAAGTCCTGGGGGAAGAATATAATGAGACATCTCTGGACATTTTTCTGAGCAAAGTCATGGAAAAGTCCCTCCAATGTAAAAATGGCACTCTGAACTTGTTTGTTCGCTTCCTGCATGGCCTCACACTAGAGTCCAACCAAAGACTCTTAGTAGGTCTGCTGAGTCAGACAGAGAACAACCCAGAAGTTATCCAGAAAATCATCAACAACCTAAAAGAGATGAGACGTTCTCAAATTTTTCCTGACAGAAGCATCAACATCTTTCATTGTCTGATTGAGATGAATGACAGCTCAGTGTTTCAGGAGATCCAAGAATTCGTGAAATCAGAGACAAAACTCTGTGAGATCCACTGCTCAGCTCTGACCTACATGCTGCAGATGTCGGAGGAGGTTCTGGATGAGTTGGACCTGCAGAAGTTCAACACATCAGATGAAGGACGACACAGACTGATTCCAGCTGTGAGCAACTGCAGAAAGGCTCTGTGAGTCCTGCTGTGATCATTAACACAATTAATCAGATTAGATCAGTAGTTCCACGGGTGGCTGTGGCTACAATGTAGCTTGCCATCACCAGTGTGTGAATGTGTGTGTGTGAATGGGTGGATGACTGAATATGTAAAGCGCTTTGGGGTCCTTAGGGACTAGTAAAGCGCTATACAAATACAGGCCATTTACCATTTACAGGTGAATCTTTCCATTAAACTGACTTTATTCAAAATCTTCTGGAGCCAAATTAAAAACAGGAAACAGTCCAAATGTTTCTCTTCTTTAGTTTATAATCTAAAACATTGTTATAGAAAAGGTGAATGAGGCAGGTTCTATAAAACACTTTGAGTAGAAAAACTTTTACTCAAGTAGAGTAGCAAGGTCCTATATAAGAATGAATCCATTTACCATTGACGAGGATCAGATTTCACTGACAAAATGTGAACATGATCATGGTTTAAATGTAACACAATTTTGTTTTCATCTGTATATTGCATATGAAATCCCTTTGTTTTGTCTTCCTATTCACTAAGTCTGTGTTTACAATGCAAAATTCCTGCTTTTATAATAACATATTTGATGTTTTCTCTTGTCACAGACTAAAAGCTTGTCATCTCTCAGAGACTCACTGTGAAATTGTGGCCTCAGCTCTCAAATCCGACAACTCCAATCTGGTGGAGTTGGACATGACTGGAAACAAGTTGCAGGATTCAGGACTAAATATTTTGTCTGCTGGACTGTCGAGTCCAGACTGTCGACTAGAGACTCTGAGGTGAGTTTGCTGACTGGAGCTGTTGTTGTTTAATCAAAGTTTTACACTGTTGGTTAATAAAGGTTCACAATTTGTATGAACAAAAATATATAGAAGTGTTCTTGATTTCAGAAATGTTTGCTTTTCCAAATGGCTCAACGATAATTTTTACTTTTGGCTCCAAACAGACGTGACAGACTTGAGCAAAGTTCAGTTAAAAGCTGACAGAAGTCAGGTTGTGGTAGAGAGATATTTTTTACAGTTGTTCAGCCTCCACAGGTCAAACTCAGTCAGTCAGAGAAGATGAGGTGATTGGTGATGAGGCGTTAGAGTCTGTGTGGGGTGTCAGTCACTCTGATAAATAGCAGATAAAAACAGGCTACAGAGATTTTGACAACCCACACAGCTGCTTTGGTGATGTATGTGTTAAAGAAAACAGCAGCCTGACACAGTCCGGAACATAACAGCAAAGCAGGATTCTGAATGTATGTGAGGATTTTTTAAAAACAGCTGGAGAAGAGAGAGGCTTCTTAAAAAGACTATAAGAAGAGGGAAGCTGAGAGTTTTTTTTTTTTAAGTTTCTGTTCCTCTAAAAATGATCCTGTTTTAACTCATTTTGAGTATTATAGCACCAAATATCGCTTATGTTGTTGTAAAGCAACATAACAACACAAGAAGTCATACAAAAACAGAAGATCTGCATTGACAGCAGACTGAAAGCTGCCTTTACCAGCCCAATATAACCTCACTAACCAGACAGACAGAATACCATGGTTTGTGAAGTAGTGCCTGCTTAGAGTCTGTTCTAAATCATTTGTTCTGTAGATAGAGAATCTTTTCAGCACTAAATCTTTAAAGAAAAACTACTGACCAGTTTGAGTGTAAAGAACATTTTATAAAGAGTTGTCAGTCACATTCTTCAGCAGACCATTTCAGGCTCTCATGAACTCAGACGTTGAGCTCAGTAATGTCACTTCAGTTCACTTCAGGTTTAGAGCTTCAGTCTAGTGTAGAGATTAGGACTGAAACCGTAATAGTGTTCATGTAGAAAATACTAATGAAAAAAGATCAACTGACCACTGTTTCTATTTTAAGAATAAAGGAAACACATTCAGGTAACTCTGTCATGTTGGTACTTTGACTTCTGCTCAGCAGACAGATAAAGTCAGGTGTCAGATCCAGCTGTTTCAATATTTATTTAGTGTCCACAATTTTTTAACAGTTTTGTACTTTGAAGACTGATGTAATAATGATTTTAGAATCCATGATAAAAACTTCTGTGCGTTAATCTTGAAGAGAACCTCACTGATGACTGATATCTGCATTTTTCATTCTTTATTCAGGTTGGAGAGCTGTTGGTTGTCAGATATCAGCTCTCTGGCTTCAGCTCTGAATTCCAACCCCTCTCATCTGAAATATCTAAACCTGAGCTACAACATCTTGGAGAATTCAGGAGTGAGGCATCTTTGTGGTTTTCTGAAGAATCCCCACTGTCTATTGGAGACTCTGAGGTTAGACACCAAATTTTAACTGTGCTTAGATCCTAATCCCGGATGGTACAGTATTTATAGTCTAAGTATAGTGTCGATTAACAAACATCTTGGGAACATAGTTTGTACCAGGAATTTTGGCACATTTACAAACTGACACTGCTGAACAGTGACAGTAAACTAGATGAAGCTAAGATGACGAGTTATTTGTGTCAGAAAGCACAAAGAGCCACTGCAGCGCTAAAGTTGTACTTTACACCTTCACTGGGGTTTGTAGTGCTTTCATTTCAGTGTTGGAGTTTGTGATCAGTGCCTAATTTAATACATTGCTACATATTTAGTTATTTTAATGAAGGTATTTGCCACACACAGTTACAGTGATCTAAGAATGTTTTCACCAGTGAGGAATGACTGACCAGCAGTTTCAGAGGTAGACCTGCATGACATCTAGAAAAAGCAAAGCAAAAAAACCCCAGGAGAGCTAGTGCCAACCGCTCACCAGGACTATCCTAGCTCAGTGCTGACCTTCTTCAGCTCCTGACATATTATGACACTGGATGCTTTCAAGCACAGACTCTTAGTAATAAACACTTTTTAAAAATTCCTTATGCAGATTGCAGCGCTGCAGTTTGTCAGAGATCAGCTGTGATCATCTGCTTCCAGCCCTTCAGTGCAACCCCTCCCATTTGAAACATCTGGACCTGAGCACGAACAACCTTCAGGATTCAGGAGTGAAGCAGCTGTGTGTTTATCTGAAGACTTCAGATTGCAGACTGGAGACTCTCAGGTCAGACACCATGTTTTAGTTGTACTTAGATATATATGATGTGAAAGCTGCCATTAACCTACACATATATCCTGACATTAACCTAATTAACACTTTAACTGTGGCAGAACAATGGTTCACATTTCAAACATTAAAACTGTGTTACTCATCTTAAGACAAACAGCCCACATCTGGGCTCCACCCTGATTAACATTATTGCTATCAACTCTTGGTATACAACACATTGATTAATCATTTACAGTTAACTCTTTTTAATGGTACAAAGGTCATGACACACAGGAATCTGTGGAACAGAAACAGTTTGTGGCAGGAATCATTGCACATTTACAAATTGTACTGCTGAATGGCATGCTGGGTAATGCTAGCTATACAGGTCTGTCAATAGTGGCCAAAGAGTCCGTTGATACAAAAGGTTTTTCAATCAGACTTGTTTTTCTCTCATTTCTGGTCATGCTGCTGCTTGTGTGTTGAAAGACAAAGACAAAGTTTAGGTGGGGTTCAGGGAGATTTGAGTTTTAAAAAAGTATTATTAATCGATTTAAATAACAAGGGATAATATACAATATTACTATAAATGTTGCCATTTGATGCATTATATCAGAGTTTATTGGCAGGTTACATCACAAAAATAACACACAAATAAATTGCCAGCTTTTAAAATGTGTCTGGTATAAAAGTGTCCTCAAATATATACATTTCTTTCAAACTAAATCTTTAAAACTGAAGCAATGTAAATACTTTTTTCACAATTTTGATCTAACAATTAGGATTTTTGTCAGAATTTCATACCCCCACTCTCCAAGACCCTATTTTTTTCTTTTTTCTTCAGTGAACAAACAGCATATCGTAAGTCAGATTATTGAGAGCTCTTTTTTTCACTTGTACCTTTTGTCTGAACCTCCACCCTGTTGGCTCAAACTGTTTGGATTTGACATTTTTTAAACTTGAACATTTCAAATCTTCTGAACAAATTATCAAACCTTAAATGATTTTACCACAGATTTTGCCTCATAAACTTACATCTTCTATCTTCATTCAGGTTATGGGGCTGCAAGTTGTCAGAGACCAGCTGTGATTATCTGTTCAAAGCTCTTCAGTCCAACACCCATCTGAGAGAGCTGGACCTGACCTTGAACAACCTGCAGGAATCACATGTGAAGCAGCTGTCTGAGCTTGTGGACAGCCCACATCACACACTGGAGGTTCTCAAGTGAGTAGAGGCTTGGACTCAGTCCAGGCTGCTTTCCCAGTATAACACAGTGTGAAATCAGTGACCCAGTGTTTCTTGTACATCTGCAGTCTTCTTAACTCAGTGAGGCTGTAAGAAGAGAACAGTGGCAGGCTTCAATATTCGACAGAAAGACAACAGACATCCAATCAAATGACACAGAAGTTTGTGATCATGTGTTTGAGTTGATGTGACGATAACTAATGTTCACATCTACAGAGAATAAATTTGTAAGGGTGTCAGCTGGAAACAAGCTTTATTTCCTGTAAACATGAACACAGAAACATCAAATCACACAGGTGTATTAAATATTTTACAGAATATTTTATTTATTTTTAGAGGAAGAAATTGTCAAGAAACAAAACATTCTAGAAAGGAAACAACCAACTCGCCTATCATGGAAATCCAAAATGATGCAGGAAAATTAGTCAAGAACACACGCACAGAGATATGTTGGAAGCAGGAAGCAGGCAGGATCTGTCAGTCTTGACAGGTCCCAGTTTATAGCCAGACCCATTTAATCTCGAACCAGTGGTCAGCCTTCACCTGTAAATTATATTAAACTGCTTACTAAATGAACACCACTGCTCCAGGTGTGGAGAAGTAAATGCAGTACACAAAATTATGACCTGGGTCATAACCTCCAGGAATCAAGATTGCATATGTCTTACTGTCAGTGCTTTCATTGACATTTGTTCAGTAGTAGCCTCCATGTATATTAGTAAGCTGATATTTTAGCAACAGGTAAGAAGTTCAACAATACACAGCAACCTTTGGTCTTAGTGAAACAAGAGAAAATCCATTCATTGGCAGGAGGCACATTGCTTCATCAGCTGACTGTATACTGTTAGTCAGTTCTTCAGCACCAAAGGTTTTCATGCACAATAACAAAGCCTCAGCTCCTGCCTGTGAATCTTTTTCATCATTCCAAATCAATGTTTTGATTCAAATTCTGGTCTGTTCATTCTAATTCCGTTGTTTTCATTCAAATTCTATTCATTTCATTCTAATTCCGTTCTTTTCATTGAAATGCTGTTGTTTTCATTGAAATGCTGTTGTTTTCATTCTAATTCTACTCTTTTTATTAAAATTCTATTGTTTATTTTAGAATTCTGTTGCTTTCATTCAAACTCTGTTCTATACGTTCTAATTCCGTTGTTTTCATTCAAA